TACCTACGACTACCAACGAACGACGACCGGACGTACGTACATTACGACGACCGTACCGTACGTACGTTAGGTAGTTATACTACTATATATAGTGTGAGAGAGAGAGAGAGAGAGAGAGAGAGGTCTGATGGAACTCTCAACACAAGTTACTCCATTTCTTATAAAAATGGAACTTTCAATAATATAAATTCCATGTGAGTTCTCCGCTCGCTCTGCTGTGACTTTGTGGAGCTGTAGCTGGAATCCTCATATCAGTAAATATTCTGCCATGAATCATGATAATATATGATATCAGAACTTAAAAGCAATAGTGTTGTAGTTTCTCTTAGTCTTGTGGTCATAGTAATACCAGTTTTGCTTTTAAGTTGATATGTGTGTGTATTGTTTGTGTGTTGTGTTGTTAGAGAGAGAGAGTGTGTGTGTTTTTCATATCTATATTTCATTTAAAAATCATGATATTGAAGGTTTGATCCTTCTTGTGCAGCTCAATCCCTTATGTTTTCCGTGTTTTCTCACTATATTAAACTTAGGGCGCTTGTTTTACTCTTGGAAAAACTTATCACCTAATTTATATAAAATTATCAAAATACTTGTGAGATGAAGTATTTATAATTGTGCGTTTGATTTAATTTCACAGTACCCATGAAAAGATTCATGATCATCAGTTGGAATAGTGTCAAAGCATAAAATGTTAAATAATGCATCTCTCATATGTATTTTGATAAATTTTTCCCAATTTTACAACTAGCTTTGTAGAAATTGATGAAATGGAAATAAGACAAATAAAACTAGGAGTAAGTAATTACCTAAATAGGAAATTTCATGTCATTCAAAAATTGAAACGATATTTACGGCATAAAAGAGTATTGGGATTATATAGTTTAGGGAAATTATTAAAATTCACCTCATTTATCAACTATTTAACATTTTACCTATTTTCAACTTGTTCAATTTATGATCATGTGTAATTTGATAGATTTTTTTAAATTAAATCACAAGATATTGGTAACATGTTCATCTCTTAGGTGTATTTTGATAATTTTCCTATATTTTAAAATGACTAGTGCGCTTATTTGAAAAAATATGACAAATGATGTTGACAAGCATCTCACTTGGGGTGGCAACAGGTCGGGTCAGGGTTCGGGTCAGGCTAAAAAAAATGTTAACAACTTGGACCGACTGGACCCGAATTCACCGGATCTGATCGTACCTGACCCAAAAATTAAATTATTTATGTATTTAATTATATTTAAATATGTAGTATAAATTGGAACTCGAAAAATATACTGGACTTGGACCTGAATAGTATTTGGGTCCCAGATTTGGAACCAGCCTTGATTTGCTGGTTCTAATTTTTAAACCAATACTTGGATTCAGATCAGGTCTATGATCAGTCTTTTAATTCTCCTACTTATAGCAAAACCCTTTTGGCCACTCTTTTTCAATAGCATATGGATGTCAATCTAACCAACTACATGAGGCATCAATGACATATGGATCTCAATTTATAATGAACTCTCAATTTATAACCAACTACCTAAGGTCTCAATGCCTTAGTTTTGTTCAAGCCCATTTGGCTTGATCGGCCTCAATGTCTTAGTCTAGCTCACGTCCATTTGGCTTGATCTTTGGAGAGATGAGAGAGAGAAAAAAGAGAGGGAGAGATCTTGATCTTTGGAGATATGAGAGATAGATAAAAAAGAAAGAGAGAGATCTACTAACATGATCTTTTGAGAGATGAGAGATATATAAAAAAGAGAGGGAGAGATCTACTAGCAAGAGGATTTTTCCCTTTGCTACCCAAAAAATAAAACTACCACAAGCTAACTTTAGCTTGGGCCTCCACATCGTTGGAGTCTACCCAAAAAATCAAACCACCACAAGCTAACTTTAGCTTGGGCGTACCACATCTTTAGAGCGATGAATCAAACCACCACAAGCTAACTTTAGCTTAGGCGTGCTACATCTTTGGAGAGATTAATCAAATCACCACAAGTTAACCTTAACTTGGGTGTGCCACATCTTTGGAGAGATGAGAGATAGATCAAAGAAAGAGGTAGAGATCTACAAGCAAAGGGATCCTCCCCTTTGCTACCCAAAAAAATCAAACCACAACAAGTTAACCTAAGCTTGGGCTTGCCACCTAAAAACAAAAGAGATGACTTGGGCATGCCCCATAGCAAACTAACCTTAGCTTGAGCATGCCACCTAAAAACGAGAGCGATGACTTGGGCATGCCCCCTTGAGAGACATTACTTGGGTGTGCCCTCTTGGCTTGAGAGAGATTACTTGAGCGTGCCCCTGGTTTGAGAGAGATTACTTGAACGTTCCCCTTGGCTTGAGAGAGATTACTTGGACGTGTCCAGATTTTGGTTGAGGTGTGCCCCCTAAAAAAAACTTGGGAGAGATTTTGAAACCCTAGGTGGGGTGTGTCACCTATAAAACTTGGGAGAGATTACTTGAGCGTGCCCCCTCGTTTGAGAGAGATTACTTGGGCATATCCAGATTTTGATTGGGGCATGCCCCCTTAGAAAAACTTGAAAGAGATTTTGAAGCCCTAGGTGAGGCATGCCACCTATAAAACTTGAGAGAAGCCCTAGGTGAGGCGTGCCACCTATAAAATTTGTGAGAGATTCTGAAGTCCTAGGTGGGGCATGTCACCTACCGAGATATCTTTGATATAAAGATAAATCTTTAGAGAGAGAAGAGAGTGTAGGTCTAGATATTTTATGAGGTGGGAGATCCTCTTTTTATAGATTTTTTATTCCTTGGGATTTACCTCAATTCGTAGGACCATCGATCTATGGAGACTTGTAGGGTAAGAGATTTGCATCATCAATCTCTTAGATCCACCATCAAGATTCAAAGAGATAAGCTAGAGCTTTATCTTCTATTTCTTAGATCTATTCCCATCAAATATTTAAATAAATAAATAAATATATATATATATATATAATATCCAATCATTATTTCTTGGGTCAAGCAATCTTGATTGAAAGATTTACTAAATATTTCAAATATTTAATCTTATAATACAAATTGGCTAAAGATAAAAAATAAGCCAACAAACAAGGGGATAACTATCACCCAATCTTGAAGAGGAAGTTAATCCTTATATGGGTAGGGCATGCCACCCTTTGGTGGCCACACATGGCACTTCATCCCACATGTTCTAAATTGGCCCCCATATTTATGGAGGGTCCCATATAATTTTATAAAATATTTTATTTTGTATTTAAAATTTTTAAATCTTATATTTTCTTTAAAACATTGAAAAATTAATTTATCTTAATTTATAAATCCAATGACAAAAATTCAAATAAACATTCCAAAAATCATATATCATAAAATTAATTAATTTTGATGGGAATCGAATACATTAAATCTAGAAATGTATCAATATACGGGAGCATTCCACTTTCAACTGCGAACCACAATCCACCTAACTTTCTCAAACTAACCCAGCAGTTCCCATAATCCACAATCTATTGTAGAGGCTCATAATTGGACTACCAAAGTCAGCCAACAAACTAGGGAACACAATCACAGTTTATAGATTTTAGGTTTTCCTGTAGAGGCATGATGCAACCATGACTCTATGGTGCATTGGGGTAATCTCTCGCATATGTATACGCTTCACCCTTATTGGTGAATCTCAACACGTACATGCCGTGTGATGATATAACGATGAGGTTTTAGCTCTGTCTCTAAAGGCTATTCATTACCCGTAAAGGCCACACGGTCCCCTGACTCTTATCTTGGCATACTCCGACCTTATCAAGGGCTATCCCACTAACCCTTCTCAGTAGATCCTTATGCCCAAGTATCTTGGGTTTTTCCAAACTCGGCTGGCTTAGCATGTCAAGCATAATCCGAGTATCGGCAAAATCATTTGCTTATTATGGTCCACAAGATCACCACACTCCCACTGAGTCTATGTTTCACTATATAAAATGTTCATACAAGCTTGCATAAAACCTTTAAAGGCTACGTAAACCCAACATGACGGCCTACTTAAAACCGAAATACAAATTGCCTAACTAGGCTTTTATTATGGTCTAAAAAATTGATAGAAAAACGTTGTTCCAATGCTAAAAATTCTTCCAATTAATTATCTCAGCTTCAAGATGTATGGATATGAAAAAAAGACAGTTTTGAGTCTTAAGATAGAGCACCGCGTACCACAATATCTGGACCATCCATTTTCAAGACTTAAAGTATATATACTTGATTTGTACTATTTTATAACTTTAAATTTTATAAAAGATATACTTGATTTGTATCATTTTATAACTTTAAATTTTAATAAAGGAAAAAGTTTATATAAAGGAAAAAGTTTATATAAGGTTGCAACATTAAAATATAGAATTAAATATACACCTCAAAAATCCATTGGAAAAGATTTTTTTAATATTGAAAAATCCTCTAAATGAACATCTCGACATCGAGATGTATGAATATAAATAAATAAAAAACTGAGTCCTAGAAATAGTACGTCTTTCAACATATTATCTAGCCCGTTCACTTTCAAGATTTTCATATGTTCATTGATCTACTTGATTTTAACCGTTTTTGGAGTTTAAAATTTTATAATTAGATATGAAAATAGATTTTTAGATAATCCTAATAATTTCGTACACCAAACTTACATATTATGATAAATTTTGGAGGTGCGCCTCGATTGAATTGTTTAAGGTTACAACCTCATAGAAACTGAAATTTCTAGTTATTATAAGGTTTTCAGCACTGAAGCGGCATCTCTTGATAAAGTTTAAAGATACATCACTGTTTGAGGTGGATATGCTTAACATGGCCCTTGCTCAGTGAGACTCTTATCTCCTCAATAACGTATACCTCACTGAGGCTACAAGCTCAGAGAGAGAGTGTGAGAGAGATCCTCAAAACACCGAAGTCAAATTTTAGCACTGGCATAGTCGACATGTTTTGTTCAATGTCACTTTACAGGCCACCCCTTTCCTAGTATCACAAATATCACCGGGATCTCAGTAATATTTTCCAGGTGAGTATTTTCTGAACAATTCTCAAACTCAATATCAGAGAGAGAGAGAGAGAGAGAGCCATCCCCAAAACACCCAAGTTGAATTTCAGCACTAAGCACAGCACATTTTTTTGTTCAATGAAACTTTACAGGCCACCCCTACCTAGAATCATAAATATCACCAGGATCTCAGTAATATTTTTCCAGGTGAGTATTTTCTGAACAATTCTCAAACCTAATATGAGAGAGAGATCTATCCCCAAAACACCCAAGTCAAATTTGTGCACCAAGCACTGTCCACAATTTTTTGTTCAAAGAAACTTTACAGGCCACCCCTACATAGTATAAAAAATATCACCAGGATCTCAGTAATATTTTTCGGGTCAGTATTTTCTCAACAATTCTCAAACCCAATATGAGGGTCAGTATTTTCTCAACAATTCTCAAACCCAATATGAGAGAGAGAGAGAGAGAGAGAGAGAGAGAGCTAGTAAATATCTTCCAAGCTAAGCAGATTGTGCCAATCTCCCGCATACAGGTGGGCTGCAACCTTTTGCACATGAATGAAAATAAGCCCCCATTTCCTTGGAAAAAAACAGAAAGAGCCTCTGAATCTCTAATGAGACTGGGCCTCGAGCAAAATATTAGTAGCCATATTCATGTCATTTCTAGCCTCCACGAGTGCTTGCCTCGCTGAATTTTGGTCGAAGCCCATAGACACCAGTGTGGCAACAGCATCCTCCACTGGCTCAACTACTGATGCAAGGCCAACAGCTGGAGCATAATTTCTCTGCCATGTAAATGCAAATATCAAACCAGTTTTTTCTCATGTTCCATGGAGAGAGAGAGAGCCAACAAAGGAATTCAAGTAGGGTTGTACAGGTTTGCATCCAACATGAGCAAATTCGGCTCAGGTCGGTTTGGTCTGGGTCGACCTAACCTTACATGTATACACGTAATACAGACACACAATCTTGATCCGGCGGTAGGTCAAGTCTAGGTTCAATTGACCTGGACCCAATTCAGTCATGCCCCGGATTGACCCGACCTGTCTGAAGCCCTAAATTTAAGTGATTGATGGTCCCCTCCAAATTGGGACACAATTTTTCATTGATTCATTTAGAGCCAAAATGGAATCATGAGAACTAGCTGTAGTACATGAAAGAGACTCAAAGATAACATGTAGAAAACAAAAACTTACCTCTATTTGACGACCAGTGTGAGAAGGTACATTTCCTGTAGGATTTCCAGTCAATGCTGAAGATGAAGGCCATGATAGCCGTGAGAAAAAGGATGCAACAAATTCAGGGAACTGTCAAGAATCAAAACAATAGAACACCAAAACCCAGATGAGAAAGGCAGTAGAATAGAGACCGTTTGTCTCAAAATATTTTGAATATTTGTACATAAAAGAATGAGATCATAATGAGACATTTCCAGACTAGTCTACAATTATGCCAAGAAAATATTTAATTCTTTCTTCGTAAAGCATTTTTGGACCCTTCGGGACTGTATACGGTACCCTTTCAGATGGCCTCATTTTTTGTGCACCTTATTATTCAGTAATACAATTATACAACTTTCCTCACAAAAATTTATATTTGCTGGATATAGCACATAAATAAATTTCCCAGCAAAATAAGGACTCAAGAAAAAAGAAAAAAAACAAAATTCAAAGCTTGTTCCATAAGTCTCATCACAAATGAATATTTCCCACTTATTAATGAACAATTTCTGCATTTCCTGAAGGTAACAATGGCATTTGGTCAAGAGGGTAACATGCACACATAGGGGTCAAGATCCATCTAGCCTAATGGCACCAGCTCAGTGTGTCAAGCCCAAGGTTCCAGTTCTAGTCAGGCTTACAAACCCAAGAAAACAAAATATGAAAAACCAACACAAATAATTCAACAAACAATACTATAATGGACATAAGTGAAAATACACAGGTACCACAAGTCTCATCACAAATGAATATTTCCCACTTACTAATGAATGAACAATTTCTGCATTTCCTGAAGGTAACAATGGCATTTGGTCAAGAGGGTAAACATACACACATAGGGGTCAAGATCCATCTAGCCTAATGGCACCAGCTCAGTGTGTCAAGCCCAAGGTTCCAGTTCTAGTCACAGGCTTACAAACCCAAGAAAATCAAAATATGAAAAACCAACACAAATAATTCAACAAACAATACTATAATGGACATAAGTGAAAATACACAGGAACCAGCTAAATTATCGCAGGACTGTCTTCTTTAGACATGAAAACGTAGCACACATGCCAATACAAGCTTTAGACATATACAACCTGGCACAAAGTTGCAATAAAATTGGAGCACACTGATAATAAATCTATTAAAACGTATCCAGGGCAATTGTGAGTTTCTTATAATAAATCTATTCAACTGAAGTGAGGAAAGGATCAAAGGTTAGATGGCTTTGACATTGATGGAAAGGTTGGAAAGAAGGTTTTGATAAGTCTAGGTGTCAGTGTTTAAGCAGAGAGAGAGTGCCTTGATGAAAATATCATGGAAAGGTTGGAAAGAAGGTTTTGATAAGTCTAGGTGTCAGTGTTTAAGCAGAGAGAGAGTGGCATGATGAAAATATCACAATACAATTCCAAGATTTCCGGAAGTTAGTAACACGCAGTGTTTCAAAAAGCGCTAGGCGGGTCCTAGGCTGCCTGGGGGGTTCAGGCCGCCCAGCGCCTAGGCGGATGCCCAGAACCTGGGCGGCCCAGTTGAATCCAAATAAGGATTCTCCAGTGCAGTTATCTCAGTACCAATTATATGTATTGCAGTACATAATTCAAATTATACTACATATTAGCATTTAGCACACACTTCATAAACATAATCATATCCATAAGTCGGTTCATACTCCATATCCAATTAAAACTTAAAATTTACAACCAACCAAATTATCAAACCAAGTTATCAAATAGTATCACACCAGTACTGCAGTACACCACCACGAGGAAGAAAACAAAATTGAATTATGAAAATATGAAAGTAACACTTGAAGACTCAAAAGAATCTTCAATAGTTCAATACACAATTGACAATACTTCAATCAAAGTTCAACTTCAAAGTTTACTAATTATTCAACAATCAACATTCATCATTCATTCAGCATCAGAAAATCTTGGGTCAGCTGTATTGGCATCATATTCATCTGAGTCGACGAAGTCATCACCATCCTTGACATATTGGTCGTCCCCGTCCTTCTCCATCTCTTCTGAATCAGCCTCTTCTTCCTCCTCTTCCTCCATCCTTGTTCTCTGTGCAGAAGATCTAGTGACCCTAGGAGGGCCAGCTGATGTCCCTGAAGCATCCATGACCATGTCCCATATCAATCCTTCATGCCCCTCAACCTCACATCATCAACTAACCACTCCATAGCATGGTCCATATGTTTTGATCTGCTGGGGTCTCTCTTATCTCTCTTAGCAAACCTATCCTTCAAGAATCGATTGTACTTGACATAAACTAGGTCATTGAGCTTCTTTGATTCAAGCATGTTCTTTTTCTTTGTATGAATCTAACAAAATCAAATGAAAGTATGAAACTAATTAAAATCTAATTCCTATAGTTCATGTATTATTTATAAAATTATACAAATTACCCTTACAGCCTTACCCCTTCAAAAGTACTCCAATTGTACTCACAACCAGATGAAGAAGTGGTTAGGTTTAAGATCCGAATGGCCAACTTTTGTAAATTTGGAGAACTAAACCCATGTTGGCTCCACCAATGGGCTGCAAAGATATAGAATAACATCATAAATAAATAATATAATTACTTGATTACTTTAACTTGATGAACTTAAGAACATTATTAATAGCTGGATCAATTTTGGCCCCTTACCTCATTGTCATTGGACTTCCAAAAGACTTTAATGAGAACTTGTAATTTATCAGCTCATCAACGCATATAATATCCTGCATCAGGATCAGGGACTAGCACCTCTACACACTCATTAAATCCAATCATAATTGTGTCATTTGTTTGTATATCCTTGTCAATATAAAAAAAAGCTTGGTTCAAATAATAACCAGCTGCATGCAATGGCCGATGTAGCTGCCTATCCCACCTCCCATCAATAATCTCAAAAACACGTCTATAGCGGATTTCTTCATCATTGAAATTTTGGGCTATCTCTCTTTTGTATTTCTCCATAGTATCATATATGTAACTCATAGAAAGCTTGTCACTATCAACCATGCGAAGAACTTTGACAAGAGGAAAATACCTTAAGAACGCCTTTCACCCTTCTCCAAAAAGCCTTAGAAAGTATAATATCTCTCACCTTCTTCCCAACTTGATCCTTAGACCACTTGCATGCTCTCCACTCATCTGAGATAAACATTTGCCTCAACTGCACTCTCCTCAAATGTATGCTATCTAGGCATAAATACCAGGTTGCAAATTTTGTGACCCCAGGCGTCACAATCTCTTTCTTCTTTGTAAAGGTACGCATCATGCTCAGGGTTAGATGGTGGCTATAAATGAAATTTGTAACTAACTTGGCCTTCTTCACTGCACCTGATATCTCGATTAAACAGCCAAGAGCCTCAAGCATGAGGTCTATACAATGTGTTGCACATGGTGTCCAAAAGATTCTAGGACAAGCTATGCGCAACAAATTAGATGCAGCAACATTAGGAGCAGCATTGTATGTGACAACCTATACAACAAGATGCTACCCAACCTCCTTGATTCCCTTCTCTATCACTTGAGATATGTAATAGGCATCATGGATATGATTAGAGGCAACAATAGACCTCAAAAAGACAGTCCATGCAGGATAATTCACAAGCAAATTCATCTGACTTCTTCTCTTCCTATCACTCCAAGCATCAGTCATAATAGAAACCCCATGCTGGGCCCATGCATCTTTCTTAAGTTCTACAGCTTCCTTCGTGGCACTCACTGCCTTTTTTAAAAAAGGCTCTGAAAGCTCATATGGGGTTAGCGGTTTCATCCTAAGGCCAAATTGACCAACTGCCTCTATTGCAGCATAAAAGCTGCTTAAGCGAGAGGTATTGAAAGGAATGCCCATCTCATAAAACCATGTAGCAAGATAATACGCAACTTTATCTCTCCCTTCTTGATTCTATTTTCAATGGTGGTTTGCTTTTTTGTTCTCTCCTGCAACCTCAGGGTCAAGCCGAGGTAAAAAACTATCCATAGGGCCTCTAGCCCGAGGCTTCGTAGTCCCAAAACCAGAAGCAATTACAACTCCCTTCCCCTTTCCCTTAATAACGGATTGCTCAACCTCTTGATATCCATCCCTTTCCTCATCACTATCATCATCATCAAAATTGACCCGAACCCAAAAAAAATCTTTGCTATAGAGGCAGATCTCACATCTTTTTTCATTTTCACCATGTTCAAAAAATTGTTTATTTCCTCTTTAACAGCATCAAGAGTCTTTTTACATGGGGCAACATCCCCCCTGATACCGGTAAGATGTTTCTTGAACCGGTTTATGCCCCTTTTTGTATCCTTTTCATAAAACTTGCATCTTATGCAATTTTTATCATTAGGATATGGGTTATAGTCATATTGCCAACCGGGATCACCACTCCTATTAGATCACGAAGAAGACATCCCAAAAATAATGCAAATTACTAAAGCAATAAAAAAAAATCACTTACTTTGAGTTTGATTGCTCAATCTTCAAACTTTCACCTCAAAGATGCTTCTAAATACTCAAAATCTTCTAAAAAACCCCCTAATAACTTTGCAAAACATAAAAAAGTAGCTAGCGATATGCAGTGTTGCCGGATAGCCCTATCTTATGCACCCGACTTTCTTTTGAATCCCCGGGTCAACTAATCGATGCTGCTGACTGCTTGACAATATCACAACTGCTTCAGATAGAGGCACAGATGGAAGGGGAAATGCTGCTGGCAAGGCAGACTCTGCTCCCGATCAATCCCCCCTTATTAGTTGGTCCCCTCCAATATCTGGATTAGTGTGGCTTGCTGAACGATAGAGTGATCGAATGAAAAGCTGGCATTAGTGAGTGGATACCGTCGCCGCTCCTATTGTTGCTCCCCTTGCCCTTGAAGAGTTAATGTCGATCAATAAGAATCTGTATAATCGGCCATACTATTAGAGAAGTAGCTCTCCCCTCACTTTCTGATTTTTCGCCCTGGTGTTGATGGAAGCAGTCAAGAGATCGAAGCCCCTTCTTAAATGATAGGGTTGGGTTAGCCGCAGTGAATGATGCGTTAAAGAAGTACATACGTATTAACAACCTTGCAACTGAGAAAGAAGATTCGGTAGAAAAGCGATTTGCAGTT